CGAAAACATGGCGGACTGGAAGCGGTCCGTCTGCGATTGGCTTCCGGTGTTACACCGGCCCGGGCGTTCAAAGGTTCCCCCCATCGCGGCGTCACTTAAAAAAACGCTAAAAATAAACGCAGAAATAAACACATTTTCACCGGAAGGGGACTGTTGGTGCTCAGTTTGACATAAGTTGAGCGACTTTTAGTCTCTGTCAACAGCAAATGCTGCTCGCGCCAGCCTGTTTTAGCCTCTTTCATTTGTTCCCAACTTAAAATAAAAAAATAAAGACCACATCGAAGGGTAAAATAAAAAGATTAAACAAAAATAATCCGGTAGCTACTCAGTGTTATGACATATGAATACAAGTTATATGGTTATGGCGATGATTAGTTAAAAAAAAATACCGCAGAACAAACCGGAAGTGAACGTCCCTTCAATTTAAAACCACGAACATTAGTCAACTTTTAAGAATGATTTCATTTATATGGGCAGAGTAACAAATATGTGTAGGTAGAAGGTATTAAACATTTTTCAACACAAGATTTCTGTGTCATATTCTCCTTTTGACACCTGACGTGCTGTTAGATGGTAAATAATAATAATAATAATAATAATAAGGCGGACTGGACGCGGTCCGTCTGCGATTGGCTTCCGGTGTTACACCAGCCGCGGCGTTCAAAGGTTCCCCCCATCACCCGGTGCCGCTAAAAAATGTAATTCAGAGCAGAAATAAACACGTTTTTACCGGGAGGGGACCCTCAGTGCCCAGTTTGACCTAAAGAGAACGACTTTTAGTCTTTTAGTCTCCGTCAACAGTCAAATGCTGCTCGCGCCCTGACTGTTTTAGCCTCTTTAATTTGTTCCCAGCTCAAAATAAAAAAAAAACAAAGACCACATCTCAGAGTAAAAATCGCTCAATTAAACAAAACTAAACCGGTGTATACTCGGTGTTATGACATATGTATATATGTCTATGGTTATGGCGATGATTAGTTTAAAAAAATACTGCAGAATAAACCGGAAGTGAAAAATAAAGACCACATCTCAGGGTAAAATTGCTCAATTAAACTAAATAAACCGGTGTGTACTCGTTGTTATGACATATGTATATATATGTCCATGGTTATGGCGATGATTAGTTTAAAATAGTACTGCAGAACAAACCGGAAGTGAACGTCCCTTCCATTTAAAACCAGGAACAATAGTCAACTTTTATGAATGATTTCATTTAAAAGGGCTGAGTTAAAAAAATATGTGTAGGCAGAAGGTATTAAACATTTTTCAACACAAGTTTTTTGTGTCAACTTCTTCTATTGACACCTGACGTGCTCTTTGGTGGTAAATTGTTTTAAAATAAATAACCTTCTTTTTTTTTAATGCTCCCAAAACTTTTTTTCTCCTAGCAGACAGAATAAATAACAAATAAACATCTGCCTGCTCACAGTATTGAACTCAAACTGGTTATGGAAACTGCTGGAGGCCAGTTGGCCTGCTTTCCGTTCACCTCGTGGTGCATTCAGGTGTCCTCCGACATTGAAGCTTCAGTCACAACGACCGCAAAGAAATGTCAATTATGTACATAAAACTCCTTATATTTCAGATTGATTTCTGTTTAAAGAGGCCTATTTGAAACGTTCATTGTTAGGTGAGCCGTTGTTGGTAATCAGTTACACATGCGTGTTTGTTGTTTAAATATTTTACAAGCCTATTTTTCCGAGTTTTGGCTGTCTTTGAACGCAGCACCATACACGCCTTAGCGTTTACTTGCAACATTTCTCGCCCGAAGTGATTCATGTTGTTGTGAGAGTTCCCTGAAAACAGGAGTTCTTCTTTGTCCAAAGGTAAGAAACCGAATTAAACAAAACTGAGAAAATTAGTCAAATCCTTCGCAGACACGCAGGTTTGGAGCCTGAGCCTATTTATTGCTTCACCTGTCCGGGAAAACTTCACCACAAAACCATTTTTAACCGACATTAATCCGATGGCAACTCATTGTGATGATTTATGGCGAAATTATCTGCATGTTGTCAGTTAGGATTTTTTTAAATTTTCCATTTACACGTCCATTTTCACACTAGCTCGACTCGACCAGAACTCATACAGAAATGTTCCATTTTAAGACGTTTTGACTCGGTAAAGCCAGATAGAGAGTTTT